AAAAAAAAAAAAGGAACTAGCTAGCTCCCAAGGAGGTGAGCTTCCTATAACTCGAGGTTCTCCAGCAGAGGCTGGGCAAGCACTTAGCAGGGACCTGGGCGAGAGGACGCAGCATCAGATAGAGAACTGCGTTCCAGACCCTAGGATTCCACAACAGTCCTTGCAGATGTTCCAGGCTGGTTTTTATTTGGCATAGGCTGGTATGAAACTTTAAGGCTGCATCCCTGAGCACACCGTGAGGACTGGGATGTGGGAGCATGGGGTGAGGTAAGGGGGTGGGGTAGCTACCAGACAAGACGAGCTTGAGGTTAAACGTTTGCTGTGGCTTGATCTACCCTGGGGAGGATTTCCGGCTCAGAATCTTCATGGAGAAGCCAGGACTGCCCTTTGCATTCTGGGAGCACTTTCCCTTTCCCAGCACATTCCTCTACGTTTTTTAGTCTTTTGTACAGTCTGGCACAGGGGGAGGGTGGGATGAAAGTCTCCCCGCTTTGACATAGGCACAATGATGGCTGCCCTCCCAAAGAGGCCAAGCCATGCGTGGTGGAACTGAGGCCAGGTCGTGAGGGCTCTGGGGAAGAGAGACCCCGACTCTGTCCCTCTGACCACATGGGGGGCCGGTGCCCAGGGTGCCTCGTCCAGCCTGGTGGTGAAGTTTGCTGACACGGAGAAGGAGCGAGGTCTCCGCCGAATGCAGCAGGTGGCCACCCAGCTGGGCATGTTCAGCCCCATCGCCCTCCAGTTCGGAGCCTACAGCGCCTACACCCAGGCCGTGAGCACTGCCCTCACGCCCCCCAACCCCTCCTCCCTGTGCTGGGCCGGGCCCATCCCCACGCTCTCCAGCATCCTGCCCCCCCGCCCCCACCACCAATGCCCAGGACCAGGGTTGGGAGGGGAGCCAGGCCAGGGTGCAGGGGGGCTGGCCCCACTCTCCTCTCTCCCCCTGTCCCCAGCTGATGCAGCAGCAGGCGGCCCTGGTAGCGGCTCACAGTGCCTACCTCAGCCCCATGGCCACCATGGCTGCCGTGCAGATGCAGCACATGGCCGCCATCAATGCCAATGGCCTCATCGCCACCCCCATCACCCCATCCTCAGGTAAGGTCCAGGCAGGGCTGGGCTGGGTGTGAGTGGGGCAGGTCAGGGGAGCTAACACGTGGTGGGGGAGGGGAGGGGGGCACAGGGCATCACTCAGGGAAGCCATGGGGGCTGGGAGGGGTTCAGGGGTCAGAGAGTAGCCTGCTTCCTCCCCTCTGCCCTCAGACTTGTTGACTGCTTCTCTGCATTTGTGTGTATGTGTGTGTCTGCTTCTCTGTTCTGTCTCTGCCGCTTTCTCTTCCCCAGGAACCAGCACCCCTCCTGCCATCGCTGCCACGCCCGTCTCTGCAATCCCTGCTGCCCTGGGCGTCAACGGCTACAGCCCGGTGCCCACCCAGCCCACTGGGCAGCCTGCCCCTGATGCTCTGTATCCCAACGGGGTTCACCCCTACCCAGGTGGGGTTCTCTGCCTACCCACCCCTCTCCCCAGCAACCGCCCCAGCTATTGCTCTCACTGCCGACAGGCATGACACACCTTCCCTCTCCAGGCTGTGGGGTGATAACGGCGCTTTCTCCTGCTCTGTCACCCTGGGCAGGGATGTTCCTTCCTGGTCTCAGCCAGGGAAGCTGAGGCACAGAGAGGCGAAGTGAGTTTGTCCAGGGTTGCACAGCCAGTCACAGACTCAAGTCTTGCTAACGCCAGGCTCTCCCCTCTCCCTACGGCTCTGTGCATTTCCACCCTCTCATTTCACATCCCATGCTCTCCCATGAGGCTCTCCTCCCCACCTGCCTGGCCTCTGCTCCAAGAGGCACTGGTGGGGCTCCCAGCAGCATCCCAGCCCCACCCTCACGGTCAGTGCTGCTCTCCCCAGCCCAGAGCCCCGCGGCCCCCGTGGACCCCCTGCAGCAGGCCTACGCGGGGATGCAGCACTATACAGGTGAGGAGCCCCAGCGCAGGCCCCGGCCTGGGTGGAAGGGTTGGTAAGAGCAAAAGAGGCCCAGAAGTTGGGCCTGGGCTTTGTGCTGTCTGCCAGCCACCCCGTCAGACTTCCCAGCAGGCCATACCTGTGAGGACACGCCTTTACGGGCACAGTCTGAGGCAGCTCCCCCTATGACACCTCTCAGCCCTGTCCACTCCATCGGCCTGGGCGAGGGAGAGGGGGACTGGGGTGGCTGGGAGGGCCAGGTGGGGCAGGGGCCTCTCAGGAACCCCATTAGCTCTCTCTGTCCTCCCCCCGCAGCAGCCTACCCGGCAGCCTACAGCCTGGTGGCACCCGCGTTCCCACAGCCTCCTGCCCTGGTGGCCCAGCAGCCTCCGCCTCCCCCCCAGCAGCAGCAGCAGCAGCAGCAGCAGCAGCAGCAGCAGCAGCAGCAACGGGAAGGTGTGGCCTGGGCAGGGAGTCCCAGCCAAGAGCCTTCAGGGCTGGGGTGCCCTTGTCGTGGGCTCCAAGGCCAGCTCTGGCCCCATGTGTGGGGATGAAACTGGGGGGAGGGCGGCAGGTGAGGTGGCTGGCGCCCTGGCCCACATGTTGGGGGCTGCCTTCCCCAGCCCCCTGCACCTTGAGTCTGTCTCCCAGTCACTGAGCTCTTCCTTCCGTCTCCGCTGCCACCCAGGCCCTGATGGCTGCAACATCTTCATCTACCACCTGCCCCAGGAGTTCACTGACTCAGAGATCCTCCAGATGTTTGTCCCCTTTGGCCATGTCATCTCAGCCAAAGTCTTTGTTGACCGGGCCACCAATCAGAGCAAGTGTTTTGGTAAGAATATGATGATCTAAAAGATAAAATATAGCACATTTTGGCCAAACTCCAGATGAGGTCAAGATCTGATGCATTTGCAGGCACTTATGGTTGCAATGGACCCAGTAGTTGAAATCCAGACTGTCCAAGAGTCTGAAAGGACCAGTTTTTACACTCCTGACATCCCATACCAGCTGCTGCCCAGGCCCATCTCTTCCTCCAGAAAACCACATCTTTTCTCCTTAAGAACTGGTCAGATCCATGCTCTGTGAGGATTGGAAGAGGCTCGGGAACTGGGGAAGTTCAGTTGTCAAAAGGAAGGCTTAGGGAGCAGGGTTTAGCTGCCTTCACTCTTTGAAAGGCTGCTTCAGGGGAGAAAGGGGACGTGCTTGTCCTCTGGGCTTCAGAAGTCATTTAGGGTCCGGAGTGGAGGTTTCAAAAGGCAGGTTCTGAGCTACCCAGGCCAAGGAAGGGGCTGCCGCCGCTCAAAGAATGCTGAAAGGAATGTCCCAGGGTGTGTGAGAGGCTGGACTGGACTCATTCACTCAGCCTGTCAACCAACAGCTACTTACCGAAAGCCTCCTGTGTGCTGGGCAGTTTTCCGGGCATTTGGGAGACCTGGAGGAAGTAGGGTGGTGACGGGAAAGCAAAGAGCAGGCCTCGGCCTAAGCACAGGACAGTGGGGCAGGGCGGGGGGGGCGGGGGGGTTGGCGCTGGGCCAGGCCTTATGCCCCTCTCACCTCAGGCTTTGTGAGTTTCGACAATCCGGCCAGTGCCCAGGCTGCCATCCAGGCCATGAACGGTTTCCAGATTGGCATGAAGCGCCTCAAAGTCCAGCTAAAGCGGCCTAAGGATGCCAACCGGCCCTACTGAGGGCCCCAGGTGGGTCCCGCTCCCGTCCTGTGACCTCTCCAGCCCCTTCACATGGCAGCCAGGGCCCTCACTTGGACTGCCCCCACCCCCTTTCCCACCACCCTCAGGGATGCCCACCCCTGACTCTGGGCACTTGAGGCAGGGATCTGGAGCAGCTTCCTCAGCTGTTTTTCAATCACCCGAGTCTCTCTCTCTTTCACTTTCTCTCTCACTCTCTCACACACACGCACACGCACACGCACACACACACGCGTGCGCGTGTGCACACACACTCACACTGTGACCCCAGAGAGAGCCAGGTCTGTATATGTCTGTGTCCACTCCCTAGAACCTCCCCAATATCTGGTCTCGTTTGTCTGGTCAGTGTCCATGTGTCTTGTGTGTCTCTTTTTCTGGTTTTCCTTTAGGTTGGAATAGAATTAGGGGAGTAGGGTTTGGGGAATAGGGGGCTGGTTTAAGGTACCGGAGGGTCCTAGAATCACTGGCTCCTAGAGTATCTGTTGTCCTGAGAAGTGGGGACATCAGGTCCCGGTGCCCTGGACCCCAGGTGATTTCCCTCATGTGGCAGTAGACCCACGGGACAGGGGAGAGTACACAGAACAGACTGGGGGGAGTCCGAGTGTCAGGGCTCTGGGGAGCAGCTTTGGTTCAGGTGGAGGCAGCTGGAATGCTGGACTGCCTGTGAATTTCACTTAACAGGTCCCCTCCTCCCCACTGCCCGGCAGCCGCCAACCTCATGGCCACAGAGCTGTGAGCTTTCATTACTTTTGTGTTGTTTAATCTCCTTTGGACCAAACCCCTGAAAAAAAACAACCCAAGAACAATACCCACATTTTCTGTTTTTCCCCCTTTCCCCCCAATCCTGGCTGCTTAACTCCTCCCACCCTGGGGGCCCCCCAGCCCAGGGCCCGTGTCCATTGTCGGCCGAAGCCCCCATCCCCGGACCCCTGCTCCGGGCCCCTGTAAGTTGCATGGAACGAGCGTGTTGTCTTTGGAGCCGATTGTTTGTTATTTGGGGAGGGGGCCGCGGAGGGAAGCGCCCCCCAGCCCAGAGTCAGGGCCGGGGGCAGCTCGCGGGACGTGCTTGGTCAACAGTGGTTGGTGACTGTGGTCTGTGTTCCGTGCATTTCTCTCTCGCTTTCTTTGTTCCTTTCCAAAAAGGAATGAGAGCGCCCCCTAGGGGCTGGGGGGTCTCGCTCGCCCCCACGAGACTCCAGCCCTAAGTCCAGCCCTGGTTCCACCCTGGCCGCCCTTTTGCGGATGCCCCCTTGCTCTTTTTCCAGGTGTCTGTCCCGACACTGCACCCTCCTCCTTTCTCTGAGTCACCTCTGCCTGCCTGTTGTCTCATTTCTTTGCCCCTCCTCCTCTAGTCCCTGTCTCCGTGATCTTCCATGTTCCTTCCCTCACGGGCTGTTTGAGTATTTCCTTCCTAATATCCTTTGGTTTCTTGTGTCATTCGCCCCTCCCTCCCGTCTCCTCCATCCCCGCCCCTTGTCGAATGGCTGGGGGGCCGGATGGTTCAGTTTGGACCGAGGCCTTTCTGATGACCTGCCTTCCTCAGCCGCCCCAGCTCCCTCTCCCCACCCAGGGCCTTGGACCTGCCTCAGCTGCCGTCTTCTCCACAGCTTCACCCACGTTTCCTTCCTTCACAGGCCTGGAGACACCAGAGGAAGGGGCGCCTCACCCCCTCGCCCCACGACTGGCCCCAGCCCTCTCTGCACATCTGCCCTGGGCCTTGATTGGGCTCTGGGGCAAACGCTGCTTCATGGCCCTGGGGGCACAGGACACCGGCCCACTCCCACCACCCCGCCTCCCCGAAGGGCCTGTTTCCTCCCAGGTGCCCTTTTGGCCTTTGTGAGGGAGCAAGGAACAGGCTCGAAGGCTCTGGGGTATCTGCCTTCTGCTGGGGCTCCTGTGACGGGCCTTCTGCGCCCAGCCTTCGCACTTGCCTCCCCCAGCAGCGGGCCTCTTCTACCTGTGCGGCCCGGGAGGGCAGCAGGGGCCTCCCACATGCTCCCTGCCCACCCTCGCCCCAGCCTCGCCCTCATATTCGGGGTTTCTCAGAAGCTGGTTGTCACACTCCCTGTGGCCACCCTCAGCTCGAGGTAGGATATCCCTGAACCCTGGGCTCCCAGCCCTAAAACTCACTGCCTCCCCCAAGGGCCCCCTCCAAGGAGAACGTGGAGGAGCCCTGAGGGCTGCCTCTCCGCCAGTCAGCCACAGAGACCCTCCTCCTTTCACGAGGAAAAGACCTCCCCCAAACCCCTAAAAATGTTTACAGTCTCTGCTGGCCCCTCCGTGTAAATAGCACTACCACCCGTGCGTTATCCAGCCCGGCCCAGCCCGGACGCTGCCATTTCTCTTTCTGGGGGTTTAGACAATGTTTCCCTTGGATTTTCTCTCTCTCTTGAGTTCTCCCTTTGCTTTGGGGGGTAATTGGGTATTTGGGAGGAGGGGTGTGGGGCGGGCTAAAGGGGTTTATTACCTGATCATTTTCTCTAGAAAGAGGTTTTAGGGAAGAGAAATGGGGTGGGGGTGGGAATGGTCCGGGGAGAGTGGGGAGTCCGTTTCAGACACTTCTCTATGCTTAACTTATTTATTTATTGCATTTTACTTTTAAAGAGTTGGTCTTTTCTGTCTAAATAAAGAAAAAGTTTAAAAGCATCAAATAAGTGTCTTGGGAGGTTGAAGGTAGGGGATGGTGCACATCGGGGACGGGGTGGGAGGGACGTGAGGAGAGTGAGGTTTGGGAGAGAAAACTCTATCAGGAAGGCCCAGCCTTTGCCTTAGAGCAGTGTCCAGGCACTGATCACGGCTTCATGATCCTATTCTTCTGCCCTTCTTTTGGGCTTAATTCTGGAATGCTCTGTAGAGCTGGGCACAGAGGGAAGAAAGCAGGTCAGCAGGCCTCTCTCCCGCATCCAGCCCTGTCCTTCTGAAGGCTGAGGACGTGCAGCCTCACACTCCAGACCTCCACTTCTCCCTTGTTCGTGTGAGGGAGCTGTCCCAGCACCCGGCCAGTGGGGCTACTGGGAGCTGACTATACCACCACCGTTTATGAAGCAGCTGCTCTGCACGTGATTCTGTTCTAGGTCCGTAATGTGCATTTTCTCATTTAACCTCCCAACAGCCCTATGAGGCAGGATAGAATTTTACAGACAGGGAAACGGAGGATTTGGAGGTTAGTTAACTTACCCAGTGTCACAGAGCGACTAAGGGATGGCTGCAGGAATAGAACCCAGGCCCCAAAGCCCATGAGGTGCTTGTCTCATAGCTTCAACTACCTGTTCTGTGACCTGAGGCAAAGATCCCAAGGAGTATCTAGCAGGCTGGAGCAGTGAAGGTGGATGCATTAGCCCTAAGGTCCATGCAGTTTCTAGATTCCTCTCTGTGAATTGCTTTCGGGCTGGGCTTCACACAGGTATCGTCTCTAACTTCACAACATATGGGCCATTTGCTTCTAGGCAGCTACCTGCTACCCCACCCTCATTACGTCCTGCTTATAAAGTTGCTCACTTTCCAGCCCAGATCTGGCCTGAGGCCAGGATGAGTAAATCCCCACAACTCACCCCTCACTCTGCCCCATACTTCTGCCTTCTCTTAAACTGCCCCAAACTAAGAAGAGTTAAAAACAGAAGTAACATGTGCAGCACTATAGGGACTATCTGTGGACATTGTTTCAGGAAAAAACGTCTCTCAGATTGGAAAGACATCAGGGATGGGACTTACTCAGAAGAAAGAGAATCCAGTCAGGATTCTGAGCCAAGTACGCAGCATCTCAAATCTCAGTTAAATAGAGATGTGTGTGTGTGCGCGTGTGCGTGTGTGCGTGTGCGTGTGTGTGCGCACGTACATGTGCATGCAGTCAGAGATGGGAAGAGGTGTGCAAGGAGGAAGGTAACAGGAGTTGGTATTAACACTATGAATTTTCCCCTGAGCTGCTCACCATGGCTTTGCAACAGTTTCTGGTCAGGACAGAGAGATGGAAAGTTGGGTTTAAACCAAAGGGCATCTCCCAGAGTGATTTACTGACTGGTGGGTTCTCCTGAGATGTGGGAGCTGGGGGGACTCGGAAGGCTCCTCCTTCCTGGCATCTTTCCAGATCGCAGGCAGCCCCTCAGTGTGGTAGCCCTTCACACAAACATTGAAGACTACACTTATTGTCTGTCACTGCTCACTGCTGTCCCCTCTCTCTGCAAGGCTACAGCCAGATTTTCTCCAGAGGAGCAGTAGATAAGTCAGGCTGAATGATGGGGATGAAGAAGACACAAAGGGTTCTTCTGGGGAGTCAAAACAACATCTGGGCAGGGATTCTCCAGGCCCTTTGACAGCAAAACACAGGAGGCCATCTGAGACGGAAAAGGAAGCTCCTAACTTGTTTCTTGTATGAACACAGACTTTTTCACACATCATACTGGCTTCAAATGTAGTAGGAAGGGTATAAAGGGTATAAAGGAGGGATAGTTCCGCTAACTACCAAAGTTCACTAACATCTCTTCTGAGCAGAAGAGGCCTCAGTAATAAAATGCAGAAGAAACAGAAAATGATGACAATAGGATCACCTAACTTCAGACCAAAGAAGATGAAACTCAGCACCAGTTTCTTCTAAAATAATCAAGTTACTGTTCAAATGTTAATGGCAGAATAAAGAGAAGAGAGAAGGAAAATAGCTTCTCGAGGCAGAAGAGTGGAGCTGACAGGTTAATAGCAGGGATTGGGAGAAGGCTTCTAGTTTTAGAAACAAAAACAGACATTTAGAAAAACATCCTCACTTCGGGGGACTGTGGTGATGAGAATGTGGCAGGGGAAAAGCCCTGGATTGTTCCTTCAATGCATTCTCATCCCGTCTGTATTTTCTGAGCTTTAAAATGTATGAATGTAATGCAAGGTGTCTTGCTTCCTTAGGATTGGGCCCTTCAGTAGCTTGACACCCTCTCTGACTTTCAGGGTTGCCTTTGTCTTTTCATCCTCCTGCTAAAATTTCAAAGGCTGTCACAGCCTTGGCTGCTTGTATTTGTGATTGAAGGAATTGCCACTCATGGCCAAGCCTCATTCTCGTCTCCAAATCTGAGAACTTGAGCAGCCCTGGCTCAAGCTCCCGGCTCTTAGACTCTCCCTTCTCTGGCCCCTCTTTCGGTCTATCTCCCTGAGTAGTCAGCTCCCTCTTGCTCCCCATAAATGGGGTTGCATCTTCCCATCTGCTCAGTGAAAACGACTCCCAGCTATGTGTTTCTAACCTAATGTTTCTCCTGAACTCAGTTTCAGTACTGCCTTTCCTCCCTCAGTCCTCCTTGCTCGCTCGTAAAGACCACCACTGTGTATCCACCCAGGCCAAAACTCTGATCACACCCTTTCTCTCACGTTTCATATCCAACCCAACTGCAAAGCCCTACTGGTTCTCTCTCTAAAATGCATCAGTGATGTACTCACGTCTGTCTCTCCATCTCCACCGCCATCAACACTGTCCAGGTCACCCTCGCCCACTGGAGGCCTGCAGTATCCTCCTTACCCGTCTCTGCATTTCCCCTCCTCTCCTACAACGTGCTCTCCAGAGAAGACACCTGTCGTCTACGAATTCATTCACAGGTATTTACTCTGCCTTATCACCACTGTATCCCCACCATCCTCATCAGTGCCCAGAGCATTAGAAGGTGCTCAGCAAATAATTAAGAAATAACTGCTGGACACCTGTATCTAGATTTCTCACACATGCCTGAATTATAATCGGTCCAAAGCTAAAATATTTTCTTCCCCAAAGTTCACCTAGCCATGAAATCTTGGGAGTCTTTTACTCCTCTCACATCAACTCAGTGTTTAATGCTAAATCATAAATGATTGTACTTCCACAGTTTTTTCATACCCATTTCCCTCGTTTCAAGTTATCACTGCCTCCACTTACTAACTAATCACGGCAGTCTCCTAATTGATCCCTCTGTATGTATTCTGAAATATCAGTGTTTCTAAAGCGGAGCTGATGAAAAACAAAACTTCTCTGGTTCTTTTTTCTGGCTGTGCCGTGGCTTGTGGGATCTTAGTTCCCCAACCAGGGACTGAACCTGGGCCATCGGGAGTGACAGCGAAGAGTCCTAACCACTGGGCCGCCAGGGAATCCCCCCTCCCTTTTTTTTTTTTTTTAACGTAGAGCACTTCACCTGGCATTTAAGGCTCTTCGAAGGCTTATCTTCTGTTTTATTCCTACACACACCTTAAGTTCTAATGAAACAGGACTATTTGTTGTTCATCTGGCCAAGTTTGATCCCCGCCACACCCATGTCTTTTCATTCCCAATTACTAGTGTCTGGCACATAATGGCTCAGTAAAGCTTGCTGAATGCCTTCTTGTTGAAATTCTGCTTAATCTAAACAGTTCACTTTCTTCATCAAGATTTCCTTCATTGGGCTTCCCTGGTGGCGCAGTGGTTGAGAGTCCGCCTGCCGATGCAGGGGACACGGGTTCGTGCCCCGGTCCGGGAAGATCCCACATGCCGCGGAGCGGCTGGGCCCGTGAGCCATGGCCGCGGAGCCTGCACGTCCGGAGCCTGTGCTCCGCAACGGGAGAGGCCACAACAGTGAGAGGCCCACGTACCGCAAAAAAAAAAAAAAAAAAGATTTCCTTCATTGCCTTCACCCAGAGATCTTTCTCCCCTCCTTTTCTAGTCCCTCCGGCACTTAAGCCTTCCACAGCTAGGTCATGTGGTCATTCCTCTGAGAGGCTGCAAGTTAGCACAGTGTCTCTTGCTTCGCTTTTGTATCTATTGCAGTATCTAACACAATACCCTGCACACAGTAGACATTCAATAAATGTTTGACTTTAACTTCTATAATTCTAACTCTGGAGTTCCACTTTCTACTTCTCTGTGGATTCTTCCCTTGTTAAAGAAAAAAAAATTTTTTTTCCCCATTAGCACAGTAATATTTACCAGATTTCAATTATTGAATGCTAACGGCTCAGTGAGAGACCCACAGCAATGTCTCCCCCCGAACTGCCAAACCAAATGTCAAACTACACCTTGCTCTTATGGTCTCCAATCAAGGAGCAAAAGCACATGGCTAGGGATTAGAAAAACAAAACAGGAAGGTTTATAAAAAATAATTTAAAATATCCAACCTAACATAAATGCTGAGCTTTTCAGAATAGATTCAGCCCATAAACTAACACACAGAGTAGGGTAGGTATCCTTAAGAGTAGGTACTCAGGCTACAACACCTGAGATTCCTCCGCAAAAGCAAAGAACATGCAAGACCACGCTTATTCTCAGGAGTGTGGGCAGAGGGGAGAATATAATCACCCAGAGGACACGGTATTGAGCTGGCATTCGTTAGGGGTAATAGGTACCATTCAGTTCAGATTCCAGAGAGAAGTTTCCTAAGTAACTTGAAAAATGAAAAAGTATATACATGAGGCTGGGGGCAGGCGGACAGTGCTAAGATCTGTCCCAAGGGCTCTGCCAGGCTCTGTCTGCATAAGGCTGAGGAACAGAAGTCCTGTGAGTCTTAACGTGGAGTTTGTGCAAGCTGGCACAACCAACCCTGAGGGTTGAGGGGGAAGAAGGAATTTTCAAAGGAGGAATTTTCTGGAAATAGAACTTTGGACCAGGGGCCTCCCAGCTTCTCCTTTTCCCACCCTTCCCCATCTCCTGCTCTCAAACAACCGCCTCACTAGCTAGTTGGTCAGGAGAACTAGTCAGATGTTCCTTCCCATTTTCAGACTGATCATTCAAACTCAAATCTCAAACGTCTTTCTTCACCTCTTCCCACACAACCCGAAGGATTTGTAAGTCTAGGAAACCAAAAAATAGTTTCATCAATAAATCAATTTATTTAAAAGAATATGTTACAATTAATTACACTAAGTGACATTACCAAACAATTTTAGAGTGGTTAGCTCTAGAACAAGGAATGAAAGAAACACTGTTAGCCATTATGTGTCTGTGTATTTTCTCTTCACATTTCTTAAATCACAAATAAAAAATACAAGATACTGCAGTGAAAATACAATTAGAGTTTCTCTCAAATAAATTAAAAGTGTGCATGGTCTGGGGAAAACTGAAGCCCTGCTCACTGGCTTACAAAGGGGGATGTGATATAAAACTGGTGTCCAAGTTTAGCAGTTAGTTGGCCAGTGCCTCCACCCACATCATCCCCTCTTTGATTCTGTTCTTCCCCAGAGCCTTAAGCTTCCCACACACCCTAGATTACTGCTGAGGAGTAAGCTGACACCATCCTGTATGAGTGAGGCCTGGCATGATGTGCTCAGGTTTAGGGCAAGAGAAGGGCAGGAGGTGAAACTGGAAGATGGGGAACTAAAGATGCACACCCACTGCCTCTGCTATCTGAGTATTTACCCACATCACCCTCCCTCCAAAAGGAAGCTAATGTGACACAGTGACTCTGGAAGGAACCTAGCGGTATGCTGGGGTGCAAAAGACCAAATGGTTTCTACCGCTGAATCAATCCAGCCAGAGAACATGAAGCAGAGAAGGGAGGGCACAGTTGTCCCTCTAGGTCTGGAGACTTCGGGTCACCCAGGATGCAGTCCCCTTTAAGAAAACTGCCTTCAAGAGCCAGGCCCCTAAGCTGGCAAATTCTGAAATGAAAGAGAGAGGTATCACCTCCTGTTAGAGCTGCTGCTCCAAGCACTGGGTTTGGAGATGTAAGAAGGGATAACCCAAAGCTACTGGCCTGCGTAACTAAAGGATGAAACTGGATGGGCCAGGCACGGGGATGCTGAACATTTCTCTAATTCCTCCCTGAGAGCTGTCCAGGCCTAGGAGCTGCCCCGAGCACTCGCCTGTGCTGAGCTTAGACCTAGGGCAAGGGGAGGGCAGAAAAATGGAGAGTAAAATAAAAATATAAGGAGCAGAAAACCCAAAGTATGGCCCAAGGGAACCCCTTCTGCAGGGATAGGTGTCTCAGGGCCTGCATTTTCTCCTGATCCATAAAAACTCTGAGTTTTTATGGATAGAAACTCTCTGTTGGGAAGGGAGGACAACAAGAGACCAGGGAGATCCTGCTGGCTCTGCTGGGGCAAAGCAGGGGGAAAGGGGAGCCTCTCTATTTCCCGGAGACAAACTGCAAAAAGAGACTGAGCAGAAGACTCCCTGGGCAGAACCCTGGACTGAGAAAGGTGGTAGGGATTCAAGAAAGGAAGTGCAGAGCAAGGGGGAAAGGGTATCACACTAACACTGCTTCGTGCAAAGAAGAGCTTGACTGGATGGAGCTGTACAGCCACAGCGACCTCTGCCTCCATTGCAGGACGCTGCTGTGGGTGGGAGAGAAGAAGGCGCTGTCCTCCAGGGCTTCCCTGCTTTCCCCTTCTCACTGTAGCTGGGGCTTTGTTAGTGGTACAGCCTCAAGCAGGGGCTAAACAGGCTAACTACCTACAGGGCCCTCACCCAATCTCCAAGCACCAAGTGAGTGCCAGGTCAGAACGACACAGGAGCAGCGTCTATGCATGCTAAAGGCATCCCCGCTACTCTCACATCACAGGTCAGCATCTGAGCTTCCCACGGACTCCCAGATTTGTTCATTCCTCTCCCACTCTGAAGGAATAGGGGCAAACTGCTATTTTTAAAGTTTGAACAAAGCTGGTGCCAAAAGCCTCTTCAGCATCTTGGAGTGGGCAATCAACATACCTTCTTTCCAGGGTCCTTTGGCTCATTATTAAATTCATTTAAGCCAGAAGAAGTTAATTCTGTGCCAAAGCCTCCAAATCAGGGATCACTCTCTGCAATTTTAAACATTCAGCTTTCTTACATTTTGCACTCTGTGATTCCACCTGGGTTTGGAGAAGGTGAGGAAAGATAGGATGTCCTATACGATCCCACACCCCCTGGGGCAAGCGCCTGCCAAGACAACAGAGTGAGACGGAAAGCAAAGTGGCCTCACAACAATCTGCAAAAACAAGTTACAAAAACAGAAGCTTCAAGCCACCCCAACACTGCTCAGTGGAGTTGACTACAACCAACTATGGCTGCCTCCCAGTTAGACAAAGCAAAGATGCCATTCTATGGAGGTTTCTGTTTAGAAGGTAGAGAAGGAAAAAAGTAAAGAAGGCTCAAAAATGTTTCAGGGGCATCGGAGCCTGACTGCATCAGAGCTCCCAATGCAGTACCCTTGGAGGCTGGGGGTTGAGAATGTTGCTCTACCCCAGTCAGCCCTGGCCCCAGATCCTGGGATGTAGCTCTCAGGTCTCAAAAGGTCTAACTGCAAGATCAGATGAGGAGCTCTTTGAGGGACAAAAAGATTTTCCTTCAGGTTCCTTTTAATTCAAAGCTGAGATCCAACCCAAATCACCCATATTACTACTGCTCCTTCCTGGGTCCTCAGCTGGCTTGGACGGGGTATGGTTTGCCCGGCACGGGCCACCGACCCTTCCAAGTTTCCCCAAGGCCTTGGGGATGCTGTCAGATCCTTCCCCAACATGGGCGTTTAAGGAAGTCACAGAGAATGTAATAGTTATGGGTGGTTATTGGTCAGCAATGGAGTAGGGACAAGCTTATATTCATAGGGACTTTCTTCTTTCCTTCCCCCTACTTAAGTCCAATCTTTGTGCCTAAAGGTATCAGCTTTAACTCTGGTCCCAAGTACCATCCCTGCTTCAGAAAGAGCAGGGAAATGGGAAATCATGACCACTAAGTGTTTCAGGTGTCTGTGGCGTCAACCTCCTGAGCCCGCCCTCCCCTTCATTCTAGGCCTGTTGAGGGAAAGCATACAGGGGGCCCTCGGGAAGCAGGAAGATGTGGAATGTGGCTAAAAGCCATGAGTGGAAGAGACAGAGATGGACCAGGAAAGTTGTCTTGGAATCAAGAGAGACCACACCAAGTCTTTAGACTCTCGCTGCAAATCTGCAGCCTTGCTGCCCTTGAGAAACACCTCTTTCTCCTCCCCAGCAGCCTCTTGGAAGATAAAGAAACTATGCTCCTTGCTCCTCAGACTCTATGGCAACCCATGATCCAGAATCTTCATTCAATACAAAAAAGGGGGGAAAAACCCAAGCAGGTTGTAAACTTTTCGAGTCCTTCATGAGGAGAGGTATTTTTCCCTGTAAATTTTTTTTTTCCTTTTTAAAGTTTGTTTCAAAATAAAGAGAGCAAGAGAGAAGTCATGAATTCTAGTGAAAGGTGTGTAAAAACACAAGCTAAAAAAGGTACTGCCATCAATATGAAATTTAAAAAGAAATATATATATGTATATACGTGCAGCTGATTTGTGTATATATAATTTTTACATACATACATATATATGCCTGAACAGTGCAAATGGATGGAGTTCATAGTTCCAGTTCTAAAAATATAGTACAAGGAGAGTCTGTTGGTATGAGGCCCAGTTGAAAAGACAAAGATACCTTTGGCGAGTTGGTTGGGCTTACTTCTTTTCCTGTCTTAACTCAGTTGACTCCTGGTGCTGACCCATCTGTTGTTCTCTACCAGCTCAATTCCAGAGATATGAAATTCAGAGGCATTATTAATAATATTTAGTTTAGGGCTTTTGAATATAATGACTTTTTTCCTTTTTCTCTTCTTTCGTGTTAATGGTTACTCTGTCTGACATGGGAGACGAAAGGGATAAGAGGATGAGGGTGAAGAGAAGGGAAGAGGGTAACGAAAGGCTAGGTGGCCACATCTCTCTGCTGTGACCTCGCCATCTGGAAAATGTTCTGAAAGGAAAAAAAGAAAAGAGTTACTGGGAAGCCTTAGGTGTCCTCATCTCCTCCCATCTAGAGACAACCCCTCACACAGAAAATGTATGACTGGATGGATGACTTGATCTGATTGGCCTCTTCACTTGATATAACTTTCCATCAAGAATCATAGCCTTTTAGAGTTGGAAGGGACCTAGGATATTAACTATCTGGTTCAGCCTTCCTGTCTCACAGATGAGGAAAGATGAGAAAACTGAGATTCAGGGAGGCTGATTTGTCCAAGATCACAGAGAGAAAAAAAGCTGGGAGAGAATCCAGATCTGATTCCCAGAGCCCAATGTTCTTTCTACTATACCAAGAATATAAATTTTCTTATTCCTGACTTTACCCTCTGAACCTTGGGAACATATTCTTTGAGAGTAAGTAGCTAATTATTCTGAATGTTTTAAATTCTGTTCCAGCACTGGCATATACAGACAGCAGGAAAGCAGCAGCAAAAACCTTCTCATGCACACACACTCTTGGTTAGCCTAGACAGACTCTTTCACATCTCACCCAGTCAGAATGGCTAAAACTGAGGACAGCTGCCCTTCTGGGTCAGGAAGAACACGGAGGGCGACTGACAAAAAACAAGCAGAGAAGGGTGCATGAAGTTATGAGAGATGGAATAGCCTGTAGCCAATGGCCAATCTCTAGACAATGGAAGGAGGGCTTTTTGGCACAGTCCGTTTAGCGTCCAAGGCTAATAACCTCTCTGGAAGAATATCCTGGCTCACATGGGATAACCAGTCTCTAACTAATACTCCTAGACAGATGGAGATGAGGGCCCCAGGTATTTGGCCACAGGACTATACATTTTAAACAAACAAACAAAAAAAGATGAAAAGGCCAATTCAAGATTGTTTAGAATTACCTCTTTTCTCCACTTGAGCTCGCAGAACACCCTCTCGAAGCATTCATGCATGTAATTGAACTGAAAAAAAAACAGAGCAACACTCACTGGCTTCTCAAGACCAGGCACCAGAGGACCATGCCTTTGAACTCCTGCCCAGAGTCACCTTCCAAACTTGCTCAGCCTAGAGAAAAACCTTAACAAGCTCCATAAAACCCAGGCCTGGCTCATCTGCTATTCTCTGGCTCCTTCTAGTGGTTAACTGTGAGTCAAGTGGGATATGAAATTGCCAATCCTACTCAGGCCTAAAGGAAAGCCAGGAAGAACCTGGGGCTCTAGGATTCAAACAGGTTCAGATCTCAAAACAACTGCTCTACAGCTCTCTCCATTTACGCATTTAGCTTAAGGAGAACTTTAAGCCCAATCTACTTTCCCCGTGCATGCTTCCCCAACTACCACTCACATATGGTGTGAAGATTTTAACCCATCGAGGCTTCTTCTCTCCTCGAGCATATTCAAAACAGAAGGCCATTCCTTCTTCATCTGTATCCCATCGTTGCATCTCATCCCATTCAAATGCTATTACCTGGTTCTAAACAACCGAGAACAAGAGCATAAGTTTGAGAATGCTGGGGAGCTTAGGTAAGATGGTTCTGAACCAGACAGCAGAAAAGAAATCAGTAGAGATGTCTACATCATTTCAGGGAAAAGACTGTGACAGAAGAATAAAAGTCAGTGTAAGCAGCCAGTGAAGGTGAGGAGCAGTGTAGATCCAGAGCCTGTTTACCCCAGTCAAAACAGTCTTGATATCAGTTCCCCCACAAGGAGGAATTAAAACATAGCAAGTGAGTATCGAAGTATTCCTGGTGTTCCTGGACCATGCCCCCTGACTTCCCAGCTACATGCTAAATGAACTCTCACCTCCAGCTGTCCTTCTTCAGTGCAGGCATGCAGTTTAAAGTGCGTGATGCTGATGGCTGTGATAACATGCCCCTTTCTCCTGGAGTCGCAGGCACAGTGGGGGAAGATGATTTCATTGTAGCCCTCACAAGTCCTTAGCATGTTGAGGTACTAGAGAAAAAAGGAAAGAGAAGCAGTGTTACTATGGAACTACACCGTCATCAGGAGCTGCTGCGATGGCACACAAAAGAACCGAGAGAAACCTCGCAACCTGGAGACCTTGCCTCTGGTCTCACATCCATTGCCAAGCTGGGACAGGACTCCTAGATGATCCTTTATCCTTCTAACTTCCAACTCCATACTTCCAACCCTGCTCTCTTTCTCTACTTATATATAAATGAAGCCAGAAGAGATACTGCAACCAAGAGCCCTAGGACTAGAGGGAACTCACAATGCCATTTAGTCCAGCCCTCTATTTTCACTGTACCTAAGGGATGCAATCAAATCTATCCTTATAATTAAGGTAAGAGAGCTAATGTTTCTCATCTCTTCTCCAATCAAAAGTTAGAATGATCTCAGTGATGAGGATTAAGCTATCCCAAATCTCATATTCATAAAAAGTTTAAGCTGAAGGAAACTTTAAAAGTTAGTCATTTTACAGAAACTCAGAATAATAATGAGACTTGCTTAATGTCACAGGTAATAGTAAGTGGCACAACCAGGATTAGAAGCCAGGTTTAATTTCTAGGCCTCTGATCCTTTCTCTATTACCAACTAGTCCCATTTAGCCCCACTGTCCCCTGGGTCTCCAGCATATATGTCTCCTTAAAAAGCATCTAGACCCAAAACAAGTGACATATGTGACCCTCACAGGTACAATGCTCCAAGACTGATCCAGAGAGGTCTCTAAACTCTTTGTCCCTTCTCCTCTACAGTTAAGGCTGGCCTCTCTCTTACTTAACTCACTATGTTGAGTTGAGAGGGGAGAGAGTAAAAGATAATGAATGGGAAGGAGAGAAGAGAAATAGGGAAAGATGATAAGGAAAAAAGAAGATGCAGGGACTCTGACCTGGTTTCCTCAGTGATTGCCTGGGAAACAAGCAAATAGTCTCAAGTCTGTGTGACACCCCCATCTGCATGTCACACAGGAAGAACAAGGCATAGTGGTGATGTGCGCAGAGAGTTAGAGAGAAGACAAAGGTATAGCACCCTAGTTGATTTCAACTAGATGGGTACGGAGGTTAGAATACACTGGAGAGCTGCCTTCCGCCTCACCAGGAGAAAAGAAGAGACAGGCACAAAAAGGACCCTAGGCAACCTATGGCTCTGGTACCAAGGAATGGCACCTAAGACTGTCTCTACTGCCACCAGGGACTGTCTGGGAAGACCTAAGGGCCCAGGGGGAAAAAAAATACACCACAGGCTCCCTTCCCTACTTTGTATTTACTTCTGCTTGGGGAAAATAATAGCAACTTTAAAGGTGAAAACTTATAAAGGGGTAGCAAGAACACAGGGACAGGGTCAATACAGAAGTGCCAAAATACTTCATTTGCATCATTTTTCTTCTCTGTCTCCCTCCGTTACCCCATCCATCCCCCTTGACCATCATCCATCCTGAACCAGTGATAAACTGCTTAGGCCTTCTACTGGCACTATGAACAAAAATAAATCTCTGGCTACTATCTATACTTTGGTAAATATGACAGGCAGTGGATGATATAGGCGAGAACTCTTCTGGGGTTATAACAAGCAGCAAACAGCACAGAGTAGTGATCAAGAGCCTGGGCCCAGAACGCCCCAGGCTTGAATCCTGGACCCATAACTTCCTAACTCTGTAACCTTGGGCAAGTTATTTGAACTCTAGCAAATTATTAAATCCTAGGAGCCTTTGTTTCCTCTTCCATAAAAAGGGAAATAATAATAGCATCTACACCATACAGTTATTTGTGACCTTGAAAAGTATCTAGCATAGTACTTAGTACATAATTAGGTATTCAATACATGACAGCTTTAAAAAAAAATTTTAAAGGCTCCATTAAGGTAAGGTGTCATCGGGGAAATTTAAGGTTTTCCTGAGATTATCAGGTCAGGTAGTATTTCTCAGTTTTAAGTGGGCAATCTCTACATTCCTCGATTTGCAGAAAACATAGAGAAGAAATATTTAAAATTTTACATACATCCAAATTTCCAAAGGAAAGTTAATTTTTGTTTTCAAACATATTTACATAAGGGTGTAGCTATGTACTTCAAACAAAAAATTATCCTGTCTATTCTCCTTTCATATTAAATTCTGAGAAGCTAAATATGTATCCTAAATTACCTTCCTTGATTTGTATACCACTTAGATGATGGTGCACATCAGGCAAGAGAAGGGGACAGGTATGGCATGGGACATTTTATAAATATTCAATGTTCAGCAAGATAGGTAAATACTGAAATAGGACGGTTATTAAAGCAGAGACAGTACTTAACAGAGCAAAACACTTTAGGCGAGGGATGGAGGTCCACTCTGGAGAACTCTCTGTTCTCCCAAACAACCTGCCAAGGGTCAAACCAGATCTAAAATTGAAATAAAGGCCTGAGAGGAAACTTGGAAGCCAACTCTCCCAAATTCCAAGGGTAGTGTTTCTCAAGCACCTAAAGTTGCAGACTCACTAGGGTGTTTCTGTCAAAATCTTCACAAATATTTCTAGATCCTACCCCTAGAGGTTCTGGTTTAGTAAATGTGAGGTGGGGTCCAGAAATCTGCATTTTGAGCAGGCTTGACAAGTGATTCCCATGTAACTGGGCTGGCAACTACACTTTGAGAAACACTGACTTCCACATATACTGCCTTGTGTGAAATCATTAAAAATTATGTTGACAAACACAAACCCAGAAACTTTTTTTCTTTTTTAATAAGTTTATTTTATTTATTTATCTATGGCTGTGTTGGGTCTTCGTTGCTGCGTGCGGGCTTTCTCTACTTGCGGCGGGTGGAGGCTACTCTTCGTTGCAGTGTGCGGGCTTCTCATTGCAGTGGCTTCTCTTGTTGTGGAGCACAGGCTCTAGGCGTGCGGCTTCAGTAGTTGTGGCGCACAGGCTTATTTGCTCCGTGGCATGTGGGATCTTCCTGGACCAGGGCTCGAACCCACGTCCCCTGCATCGGCAGGCGGATTCTTAACCACTGCGCCACCAGGGAACCCCAAACCCAGGAACTTCTTATTTGTCAGTTCAACAATGGCAAGACATAAGTTACACATGTTCACTGCTTGTGTGAGAGTTGAAGAAAAAGAGAGGGACTTCCCTGGTGGTGCAGTTGTTATGAATCCGCCTGCCAATGCAGGGGACACGGGTTCAAGCTCTGGTCCGGGAAGATCCCACATGCCACAGAGCAACTAAGCCTGTGTGCAACAGCTACTGAGCCTGCACTCTAGAGCCTGCAAGCTACAACTACGGAGCCCGCGAGTCACAACTACTGAAGACTGCGCGCCCAGAGCCCGTGCTCCGCAACAAGAGAAGCCACTGCAATGAGAAGCCCGTGCACCACAACGAAGAGTAGCCCCCGCTCGCTGCAACTAGAGAAAGCCCACGTGCAGCAACGAAGACCCAACGCAGCCAAAAATAAGATAAATAAATAAGTATTAAAGACTTAAAAAAAAGAGAGAGAGAGAGAAAAGAAAAAACAAGTCTTATGTACACTATATTCTCAACCATCCTAATTTGAGATTCAATCTAACTTTGCAAACAGGTAAAAAACAAAAACATTTTGATCACACTGGGTATTACAAACTATGGCAAAGGTATGAGCTGTCCTCTGTATTCGGAGAGCAAGGGAACTTACACAAAGCTTATTTATCTGTTAACTTTGGAGTATTTTGTCAAGATTCTACTTGAGAGCTAGCAACCTGAACATCCCCAATTTACAGAAAAGAAACTGAAAGTGACAAGTTTGTGAATTGCTGAAGGTCTCACAGTGATCTGGCAACTAATCGTAGTGATATGGCCTAATCTCAGGCCTATCAACTGTGCTAAGTTGTTATCATAATGGTATCAAGACCTACGGGCTCTAAAGGGTCCATCTGAGGTGGTAGTTTCAATGTATTGACCATTGACTAGGCTAATGTCTTTGAACACTGATACCTGAATAAAACCCAAACTTTTGTCAGGGGGGAGGTCTTTAAAATAGGACTGCAGTATTATGGGGCCGGTACACACTTGTACACTGGCACTAGGTTTTCAAGAGAAGCATATTTTATACTCAGTTCAGATGACCCATGGGGAAACCTATCAATGTACTAACTGCACTTGCGTTCTTAACTGAGGATTACAAGATACAAACTTGAGCCTAAAAAATAATTTCATAATAGATTACTATGCTTGTTAAACTCAGATTTTCTATATTTTGCCACAGAACAACCCAAACCTATTTATTTCTCTAGCACTTTGCACTGTGCCTGGCACACACTTGGTGCTCAACAAATACTTTTTGTTAAATGTATAAATGGAAGCTAGTGTGTTTAGAGTGCTATATGTGCAAAGAAACAATCTGTATTCCATATTCAGAAGGCCTTATGAAATTACTTTGATTCTGCTGGCTTTGACAAAGGCAAAGAACTATTGCAGAGGTGGATAGCCCTTTTCAGTAGAAGATGCAGATGTGTTGGTCAGAATCATGCATTAATATATAGAAGACAATACCATTATCTTAAAGAAGAGGTGGAAGTTGAGTTTTAAAATCCTGTCTCCCACATAGCAAAATTCCCTTTACCAAAATTCTGCCAGGACTTTATTCTATTTTTTAAAAAACATTTTTATTTATTTTCAAATATTTATTTATTTGGCTGCCCCGCAGCACGCGGGATCTTCGTTGCCGTGTGCGGGATCTTTTTAGTTGAGGCTCTTAGCTGTGGCATGTGGGAACTAGTTCCCTGACCAGGGATCGAACCCAGGCCCCCTGCATTGGGAGCGTGGAGTCTTAACCACTGGACCACCAGGGAAGTCCCAAAACTTAATTCTATTTAAAAGATTTTTGTGTTGTCTATTTCAGCCTGTTGGTATGCAGAACATTGGTGGATGGTTCCCTTTTTGTCACATGAGTGATAAAATAACTATTCCACCTAGATATAAGACTATGGGCTTAAGTTCAGTGGCTAACTTGTTTCCATTCTTATTCCAATACAATTAATTTA